GTGTCGGGCGGGTGGTGCAGGGAGGAGGGGATGGGTATATTCACACCTAATGGGTGCAGTGCACACGGTCTGGGGGATGGACATGCTTGAAGCTCTGACTCAGGTGGAGCAAAGGCAATATATGTAACCTAAACATTTGTACCCCCATAAGATGCTGAAATAAAAAACACAAAAATTTTTAAAAAGACAGATTTCTGCATTTGTTACCACTGACCTCCTTAGTTGATACTAGCTAAATCTCAAAGTTTTGGGGATTATTTTCTTGGGTTTTTCAGGTAGACAATCTTGTATGTCAAAATGACTTTCCTGGTAAAAATTTATAAGTTTTTCGTTTTCATATCGTATTACCCAGGATGTCCAGAACACCACCACATAACGGCAGACTTCCTGGCTCTGCTTCCCACTTTTATGCCTCAGTTGTTTCTCAAATTATACTGAGGACTTTTTGTCTCAATAGTATTCTTTCTTATGCTCAGTACCGTCTCTTTAGTCTTTACTAAAACCTGTCAATAAGTATCTTTCTTTGAATAGAAACTTAAAACAAATGTTATTTATGGTCTGCCAAGCTTCATACACCATTTATTCAACAGATATTTGGTTCGGACCATGTGCCAAGAACAGTGGTAGGTCATCAGGAAAAGGCTTAAATAAAATCCACATGATCTCTGTTTTTGGGAGATTGCAGTTCAGGTAGCAAAATCTCAAATAAAAGTAAATTGTAATTATCATTTTTTATAGAGAAGGGGTCTCACTCTGTCACGCAGGCGGGAGTGCAGTGGCGAGATCGTAGCTCACTGCAGCCTTGCACTTCAGGGATCAAGCCATCCTCCTGCCTTAGCTTCCTGAGTACCAGGGCTTACAGGTGTGCATGGCCACGCCCAGCTAGGTTTTTTATTTTTTGTAAAGATGGGGTCTCGCTATTTTGCCCAAGCTGGTCTGGAACTCCTGGTCTCAAGTGATCCTCCCACCTTGGCCTCCCAAATTGCTGGGATCACAGACGTGAGCCACCGGGCCCAGACAGAGTGGCACTTATGTTACGTATGACAGATGAAAGTAACACGGTGCTGGGAGGGCTCACAGGTGCCCGAGGAAATCACCTTCAGTCTGAGAAGCGAAGGGGAGTGGACGCTAGTTAGGCGCGTCCTGGGAAGGCACCGCGGTGTGGAGAAGGGAGGAGTGCGGACAGCCTTGGGGGCCGAGGACATGTGGCCAGGGCGCAGTGGGTGACGGCACAGGAGCGAGGCCGGGCAGGACCTTTGCTCTGGGAGCGCAGAGGGCAGCACAGTGCGAGCTACGGTTTGTGTTCCCGGAAGACCCTGTGGCTGCTGTGTGGAAATGAGGGGTCGAGGGGGCCGGAGCGCGGAAGCCAGAGTCCTGGAGGCCAGTGCTGAGGGGGACACACCCGAGAGCTGGACGCAGGACTTGCACCTGCCCGTAGGGAGGGAGGCAGCTGCCGGTGTCAGGTGCTGCCCAGGACGCAGAGCCACGGGTGAGCCGGTCTTGAGCTCAGTCTGTGGCAGTGACATGCGACACCCGCGGCATTGAGAGAAAGCCGCAGAAAATAAGGAGGGACCCAAACCAAACCTGCGCTGCTACAGGCCTGAGAGGCAGGTAGAGGAGAAGCCGGTGACTGACCAGGAGAAAGGGCCGATGATGCAGACGGAAAGCACAGAGGCAGGCTCTGGTGTCCTGCGGCGTGAGAAAGGCAGGCGTAACTTGGTAAATCTAGCTGCTTTCCCACAGCATTAGATTTTTAAGGTTTTCTAAAATGTAGGCCTGCTAAAGGCCTGCCCAGGTGTGGAACGCAGAGGCAATTCCAATGTCAGTAAGGACTGGCGCGGGGGGCCTTGGGACGTCCCCTCTAGCGTTTGTTCAAGTCTCAGCAGCTTCTGACTCACGCCTTCTCGGTGCTCTGGTGATAAATGACGTCCAAAGTCTCTGCCTGTTCTACTCGTGACGACCCTGAGGAAGAGATGTTTTCAAAACTCAGAGTCTCGTGCACTGTGCAGCGGAGAGTCGAGCTGAGACGGGGGACAAGGACGAACATTAACACAGCTGCCCTGGAGAGCTGCTCTGAAGGAGTCACAAACCACAAGTGCGAACAGCACACCGTGTCTACTCTCCGAATTATCTGGTCCCACACTAAAAATTTCATTTCAAAAGACGAAGGAAAAACAAATCACAAGTGAGCTAACGTAAAAGTTTTATTAAATAAATACATGCACTGTCATGTAAAATTAGTTAAGCAAAAAGGACATTCTGTAATTAAAAAATCCTCTGCTGCTGTCCGTTTGCAGTGGGCGATCCAGCTAGAATCAGAATTAATGCAGCAACCACAGAATAAACGCAGCTACACACACTGACTGGCATTTGGCTTAGGTTCTTGAAAAAGAAGGGCTTTATTGTCTTGACGGAGAACACCTGTACCAGGGATTCTCAGAGTGCAGAATGTGAACTGTGGTCAGTATCGCTACACAACTTCTGTTTGAATCTGAAACTGGGAAACACCTTCATACTTTAAGGCACAGGATAGGAACCCACATGTACAAGCTCACAGAGCTGAGCTTCAAATCCATCTGTTAATTTTCCCTACAGTGGCTTGGCTCAAAGTAGAAAAGTTAAAGTTATCTTTTCCCAGATAAATCAATTATTAAAAACTAAAAACACTGTGACACAACTCGAGTGTCTCCCATCACCGGGATCCCGAGTGCTGAGAGGGTGGCCTCGATGGTGGTTCTCAATGTCCCCTGCACGTCTGGAAAGTGCTTTAGAGCCTGAGAACCACCCCCTTCCTTCCTCTCCTTTTAGAGAGTTTGGAGACAGCGCCCAGAGCCCCACAGGTGGGGACCATGTGTCAACCTGGTGACAGCACTCCCGACTTCACTGCAGCGGGGGCAGCACATCATGCTGCAAAACTGGCTTCCTGTGGGCGCTGCTCCTTGACAGTATCACGCTGCCTGACTGCTTAAATACAGCGTTCCACGAAGTGAAACACACGCGGACCAGATCAGCATGTGGGCGCAGGCCCCAGATGTGTAGGTGTTGGTGAAAATCACTGGCATGCTGAAATTTAAAGGAGCATTTCTTCTCTTTTACAGCTTATGACAGGCCTTTAACAGACCTACATTTTAAAAAGCCTTCGAAAAATCTAACGCTGTGGGAAAGCAGCCAGCTTTAACAAGTGACGCCTTTCTCGTGCTACGAGACACCACTGACGATGTTTTGCGTGCACACACGTGGCATGAGTGGACGAGGCTTTAAAGTGTCCCTGGATGGGAGACAGAGGATGACACTGGTGTCTGTGATCACAGGCAACGTGCTGTGAAGCTACAGGCTGCACTGTAAGTAAAC